GTATGGCTCTGGAAACTACTTCAGATTCTTGGGCTCCACCAATGAGTTTTGAATCAGATGTGGTAGAAGCTAACTGTGTAACATAGGGACTAGATGAAGAGGAGCAATCCTTCTTTCCAAGTTGTTGCGAGGCCTACTCTGATTCTGGCGCTGGTTCTGATAACCTCGGCCATGGGCTCATTGATTTGCATGATGAGCAATCCACAGTTTATAGGACGAAGCTTTAGGCATGGCTGATTTCCCAAGAGGATGACATGACACTGGAAATGATGCCTGTTGAGCCGATGAGGGACCATAGAGTTTTGCTGGTACATCATGAAAATACTTAATGTTTACTATGAATGCGTTGGTTTCATCCTTATCTTCCTAATGGAAATCGCTGAAAGACTCAATCTCACTGGCCTGGCTACTTGAAGCGTCCTGGATTTGTCTGTTTTTAAGGTAGCTTTCGACGCGTTCTCCTACTATCATAAGATCAAAGAAACTTGATAGCGCACAACCATCCATTCTTTCAAGATATGAGCCATGCAAGCTATTTATGAACATGTCAATCAATTCCCTGTCCGAGAGTGGTGGTTACACTCTTGCTGCGAATTCTCTCCATCGTTGTGCATATTCCTTAAAAGATTCATTTCCATTCTGAGATAGGCTTTGTAACTGCATGCGGATGGGAGCCACGTCCAGATTGTACTGGTAATGCTTTAGAAAAGTGCTAGATAAGTCCTTCCATGATTGGATATGGCTTCTTTCTAGGTCCATGTACCAATTTAATGATGCCCCACTCAAACTGTCTTGAAGACAATGAATCAACATCTTATCGTTATGAGTGTAGGAGGTCATTTTTCGACAGAACATCGCCAAATGACGCCTCGGGCAACTAAAGCCCGTGTACTTCTCGAAGTTGGGTACCTTGAATTTTGGAGGAATCACCAGGTCTGGAACTAGACACATATCAGCAGCATTGAGGCCGGGCATATCAGGCACTTTCATAGCTTGAAGTCTCTCCTTAAGGGCATGGAGTTTTTCTTCCATGAGATCAGCCAGTGGCATCCTCTGGGGTCGAGTAGGAATGTTTACTTGTGGAGGATGGCCATCCGGCGGAAGATCATACAGTGGATTAGTCGTCACATTAAATCCTTGTGAGGACTCAACACTCTGGCGATCATTCTCTGGCATAACTACCTCAGCTTGCTTTGTCTAATCGGCCTTTTAAGGCGTCTAAGCTTGTCTTACTTTAAATGCTTCACAACTCTCACGAGTTCAGTAGGAGTGTCGGGAAATCAACTGCGGGCTATGAACAGAGGATGGGTAAGCTCTTGGTATCCAGATTAGAGAAGAAAATTAAAAATGATGCAGAGATTCTTATGCAAATGCAATGAAATATGAAATGCAACAAACACGAGATCAAGGTCACAGATCCTGCAAGATAAACACAATGAGATATCTCTCACCTTGGGTGGGTAATCTATTGGTTTATAAGAGGGTATCCCAAAGGCTTTAGACAAAGTCCTATGCATTAACCCACAAAAGTTTTCCATCAGAACGATGATTCGTAAGACGGTAATCCTTTCAAAGGATGAACACAAATTTATGCTTTAATAACCTTCAGAATAGGGTTCTACAAAAGGTCCTTAGAGTCACGGACTCCCAGGTCGGAAATAAATACGCCATTACGACTACCCGTAAGACATAATCATCCCAAAAAGGTCTCATCTGAGCGGTAGAATTCAAACCAACTCAACGAGTCCCAAGTCTCGCAAATCAGAAAGAAAACACCTCCTAACTTAGTGTACACTAGAAAGCTCGGGTAGAAAGCTTTCATCCTCACAAACCATCCCAATAAACCCAACAGGTAAGAGGAACAAAACAAGATAAATAAAAGCAAATACAACACAAATGCGACAAACAAACTAGGTTTGGCTTGCTAGAATTCCCCAGCAGAGTCACCAGCTGTTGCTACTCGAAAAATGCAACGAAGGGGAGGCGAAAAGAAAGACAGAAGAGTCTCCATCAAACTTTATTTATCCCAGGAGGGGAAAGGAAAGTATCGAGAAAACCTTAAGAAAGAAACGGATAAGATGGTCTCGCGACCAAGAACGGGTTCAGAAGCAGGTTATGCGAAGGGAAGGTATTAGCACCCCTTGCATCCATCGTACTCAATGGGAACCATTTGTTTGTCTATGTGTGATGATATCTGCTAAAAGTTTATTGCTATAAAGAGTGTTCCACGGGAGAGAGAGAAGTTAGAAACAGGAAAAAGAGAGGTAAAGGGGAATAAAAGACTCAGTAGGATTTCGCGGTCCTAGGCCTACGTATTCTCAATAGATATGAGAAAGTCAGAGTCGACGTAGTTCAGGAAACTACGGGTAAAAGTGGGGAATATGCTCGGAAAGGATTGTGGCCCTTGTGCCTACGTATCTTTACTTAAAAGAAGTAAAGAATCAGAGCATCCATTGTTCGGCCTACGGTTTGCTGGGAAGTTCTGGTAGACGATGCTAGCATAGGAATTCTAGCAGTTTAGGTGTATTGTTACTCGCTCGTTGGAGACTTAGGCATTACCTGTTTGCGGTAGAACTGATGTAGCATGTCCTTCTGAGGAAAGGGTGGAAAAGAAATAAGAGTGCTGCCAAGACATCGCCGTCTTATGCCTACATATTCTCATCTGGCATGAGAAATTAGAGCAACGTAATTCGTGAAACTACGGAACTAAATAAAAAGGGTGATCGCCAAGACATCGGCGTCTTGTGCCTACGTATTCTCATATGGCATGATAAATTAGAGCAACATAGTTCTTGATACGATTAACCGGTGTTTTTGTGGATGATGCTAACGTGGTGCATTTTAGCAGTTTAGGTGTATTGTTTCTCTCTCGTTGGAGACTTAGGCGTTACCTGTTTGCGGTAAAACGAACATAACATATCCTTTTTGAAAAGATTAGTTTTCGCCATGCGAGGCAAGATGTCACGTTTGATTTGTGGGAATTGTTTTTTAAGGGTGAAATATGTCATCGGATAGTAACCCCTTGCGGGTAGTACCCAATTCTTTATCTCAAAGTTTTGTTATGAAAAGTTATGCCGAATACAAGCGTGCCTTCGTATTGAAAGACGAGTATCGAGACCACACACTCTATAGTGAGTATCCTAAGACTCGGAGAGGAAGAAGTCTACACTCAATCCTCTCTCTTTAATTCAATACAAAGAGAACTTCATTCTCTTACTAAAATGTTTTTGGTCTTGAATGGTAAGTGCTTTGCGACAGTGAACCCTATGGTAATGTCATGCACTCGGGATAGGAGAAGGCTTACGCCTAACCACTCCACGACCATTCAAGTTTTATTGGGAAAAAGAGTTTTGAAAAATGCACTTGGTATGAGACCAAGGTTTTAGACTTGAGTAAAAAGGTTGTGAAAGGGAAGTTTTGAAAAGAGAGGTGGCGAATATAGTCGCGTCTTCGTATTGAAAGACGAGTACCGAGACCACACACTCTATAATGAGTATCCTGAGACTCGGAGAGGAAGAAGTCTACACTCAATCCTCTCTCTTTAGTTCAATACAAAGAGAACTTCATTCTCTTATTAAAAGTGTTTTTGATCTTGAATGGTAAGTGCTTTGCGACAGTGAACCCTACGGTGATGTCAAGCACTCGGGATACGAGAAGGCCTACGCTTAACCACTCCACGACCATTCAAGTTTTGTGAAAAAAGAATTTGAAAATGCACTCGGTATGGGACCGAGGTTTTAGGAGAAAAAGTGTGTGAAATAAGAAGTTTTGAAAAGATGTGGGTAAGATAGGAAATGAATTTGAATGTATACAGGATACAAATAATGTACGAGATATATAACCAACAGTCCATCAATTAGGATTTTATGGTTTCCATATTTATTAGGTGTTTTTTTGAAAGAATGTACAAGATTAAGAGATGGATATATACATGATAACAATATTAACAAGTGTATAATAATATGTACAAGAATATCCACAATAATATTTGACTGAAAGTAAAGTTAGTCGTCAGTTTTGTTAGTGAATTGAATCGGGAAAAATGTGACGCTAAATCGTCGTAGCTTGACTTATGATGAAAGTCAAACTATAGGAGGTCGCGTGGATCGATATTCGTGCAAAAGATAAGATAGAGAAATGATATTGAGGATCATTATCCAATTAAATCATGTCGCACGGACCAAAGAGTGGGATCTTGTCTTAATCGCAAACATTACATCGATTAATCGAAGGTAGCCTATCACGATCCCAAAGTAAAGAAAATGACCTAAATGGTCATTTTCCATAGATTTGATATCGGGAAGGTTATCGACTTCGATAATCTGACGCTTACGAATAGAAAGACTTCATAGATCGAGAGAGTTTGAAATAAATCGAAAATGAAGAAGAAATGAGGAGAAAGAGAAGGTGGTCTCTGGCAAATTGTAATCTATCTATAATTTGACTAATAATGGTTTTAGAGGGTCTCGTCATCGACCCAAACGGAAAAATACGAAAATAAACTCAATGATAAATAAAAATACCAAAAATTTAACTTTTAGGAAAATATGTTCAAAATTCTAAAAAAAACTAATCTTAGAAAAATATTAACAATCTTTAATAAAACTAGTTTACAAATATATTACAAATCTAAAAAAAAAACCATTTATAAAAAATATTAACAATTCTTTAAAAAAAAACTAATTGAAAAATATGTTAATAACTAAATAAACTATTTTAAAACAAAATATGTTAATAACGATATTAACCAGAAATTTTAATATATCATATCAATTTTAATATAAGATATTAACAATAAAACTTAATGTAAAATTAATAAAAATAAAAATAAAGGAAACCGAGAGTGCTCATTGGAGCACTGTTGGCTTTCATTCACAAGCTATACCACATTTAAAAATAATTGTCTGAAGACGACATTCCAGAAAACTCTCAACAGTTAAAGCAAGAACATAATCAAGCCTATTATGTGTCTCATCAAGTAATCCATAGCAAAACATTCTTCAAAGAAAAGCTTCACCTTCAAAAGTCCTTTGAGGATTCTTCTCATTAAGACTAAGAAGGTTTCTAGCATTGTTCCTGATTAGGCTCAGAGCGTTCTGTACTCCCCATAGCTCAAGTTTACATCTGAGTCTGTACTTACCGACGAGCTTCAACTCGACATCTAAACGCTCTTTCTCGTATAGGTGACAAGGTTTCTTGAATGTTTTACCATAGTCGCGGTAGAAGGAGACGTGAACCATGGTGCTGTTCGGCGGAGCATAAGGTTGCTCTTGGTTGATCTCTCGCGCCTGTGAGTAGAAGAAAGAAAGGGATGATACTATTCTTAGAGGTTCGTGAGAGCTTTGAATGGGTTTCGTGGAGTGAAGGTGATGAAAATGGAGAGGGTTAAGATGGGTTTTGGAGTTTTGGGTTTGGTGTTATGGAGATCCGAAAATGGGTTTTGTTGGGATTTCGCGGCGGAAAAATGCAAAGCAGAAGGTGGGTGGTTTGGTTTGAAGATCAGAGGGAGATGAAGAGGATTTCAGATTGGAGTTTGAAAAAAATATGGGTTTTGGGTTTGCGCCACGGTTGGTGGAAGGAGTGAGGAAGAAGGCGGATTGTTGAATTGGGTTTATGGTGTTGTTGCGGTTATGAAGAAGTCCGGCGGTGGAAGAGAAGAGGTTAAGGAAGAGAGGAAGAGGAGGTCAGAAACAGATCGAAGAAGATGGTTTGAGGGAGATGAAGAGGTTTTCGATTGAGGTTCGGGAGAAGATGAAGTGTGAGGTGGAAGAATGGTGGAGACCCAATCAGCCCTCCAGTAATGCGAAGATCTATCGGTCGTCCTAAGAAGAATCGTAACAAGGCGAATGATGAGCCAAGGATAAGAAATACACTGCCTAGAACTCTTTAAACTGTCAAGTGCAAGAAATGTGGGAGTTTTGGCCATAACAAATGAACGTGTAAAGGGAAGTGAGCTGCGGAGAGAGCGATTCCTAAAGGTAGCAACAAAAAATCTAAAAAAAAGGGTGACAAGTCGGGCAAGGAAGCGAGACAAACTGTTATAGACGGAGGGTCGCAAGCACCGCCACCAACCCAAGAATAGTTCTATGTTTTACTTTACTTTTTGTGATGCTGCTATAGCATGTGTTATGACCAAAAAACTCAAGGTCTTTTGTTAAAATATGTTGTCTTTAATGCTTCCTTCAATGTAATGATACATCAGACTTGATACATCAGCCTTCAATGTTATGTTATGTAGTGCTGTTATATAATGCTGTTGTTTGATATACATCATTTTATTATTACAATGCAGTGTTGTTTATACATCAGTTTATTATTAGAATGCAGTGTTGTTATGATACATAATGTTCAAAGTAATGCTGCCAGTTATGTAGTTCTTTTAAGGTTTCAATTTTTGACAGCACTGAACTAAACTGACTGTTATGTAATATTTATTCAGAAGCTTGTCATGATTCATAATACAGAACTGTTGGTTTCAAAATATAGAAGATGATAGTTTTGACAGGTTTCAAAATAAACTGCATTGTATGTAACCCAATTATAAGTTAACAAGTTAACAAATTTCAAAATACAGAAGATGATAAACTGCCTGTTATGTGACCCTGTTATGTGACCCTGTTATGTAACCTGTTATGTAACCCAACACAAATTGTCGAATAAGACCAATTTATTAACGTAACAAAGAGATTTATAAGACTCTGTTATGTAACCTGTTATGTAACCCAACACAAATCTATTTCAAAAAATTTGTTTCAATCATTTTCATCTTTGCAAAAGCACTACTAAAATCTGTTTCAAACTATTTCAACATAAAATCTGTTTCTAATTTACTTTAGCTATTACATAATGTGTTCCCTTATTTCCCTATTAATTTAGAACTGGTATTCAGTCACTTTGTATCATACTATTTATCAAGTATTCTGCATAAACAAGGTTATGCTGCTCTTCATTTAAAATATTATGCAGCTACTTTAATATTATGCTGCATAATATAAGGTTATGCTACATAAACACCATTTGAAGACAATCAAAGTAACTGCAACATAACTCTTCATTAACACAGACAATCATAACTCTTCATTTGAAATTAGTTCATTTGGAAACTACATAAACATCAAAGTAACTACAACATTTGACATTACATCATTTGAGTATATGTGTTGCAACTAATGCAAACACAATTAAAAAGACAAACATCAAAGATAACCCCACAAAATAATACATAAACCTAATTTTCATCTTCAACAAATCTTCATTTTTCTTGATTTCCTCAATCACATCCATAAGCTCCTTATTCTTGTCTTTCAAAGATCTTATCACATCTTTAGCACGACTGCTCATGTCTTCATTAACCCACTGAAAGTAATTACATCCTTTTTTCCTCATCACCTTAAAATTAACACAACCATGAAATCTTCTTCCAGGATTATCGTATGTCCATGACGTCATCAACGGTGACTCAAGCTCACACCAACATCTATTACCTCTTCTTCTTATACCAGACCCAGACTGGTTTGTTAAGGAAAAAGAAAAATTCGTTTCAGACATGTTGGTAAGTAGGAGGCACGTTGGGTTCGAAATTAATGGCTAGAGAAGGGTTGGTATGGGTTTGTTGAGGAAAGGAGGATTGGATTTAAAGAAATGGCTACAGAAATGGCTGAAGAAATGGGTTGTTCTTCGTGAAAAAATAGGGGTTGATGAATGGTTGAAGAAATGGGTTGAAGATGAAAGAGCTGGAGTTTTTCATTTAAGTTTTATTTTATTAATTTTCTGAAAATGAAATAAAAAACCACATTAATGACATGGAAATGATATTAAAACTAAAAAGACCATTTTAACTGACATGGAAATGCCACATCATCATTCAACGCGCCACCTCATTAAAAACATGACTTAAAATGGCAAGGGGACTAATATCAATCTTGAAACCTAAAAAAGGGACCAAAATCATGATTTTTAAAATGGGGGGATCAAAACCCAAAAAAACACAAAATAGGGGGTCCAAAGTTGCAATTAAGCTTATTATAATTAATTCTAACTAAACTAATCCTAATTAAATAAATTAAAAACTCTAGCCTAATTAATAAAAATCTAATTAAGCCCTAATTCCTATTTTCTAAAATTCTAATTGTATTCAATGCTAAATGAAAAATAAATAACTATTCTAATTAAAACAAATCAATTCTAATTCTAAATTAAAAAACCTATTTAGTTTTCTAAATAAAAATCTAATTTAAAATCTATAAAAAGTATTCTAATTATAAAATCTAACTTCTATTAACAAACAAAATATGTACAAAATAATAGTATTTTCCAAAGAAAAAAGAGAAATTAAAAATGGAATTAATATTTACAAAAACAACCTCCTTAGGCTACGTGTCACGCCCTCATTGGACGAAATAACAGAGATTTGAAAAAACGCACAATCGTGGGTGGACACATGTCTAAATGGCATGAAATTAAGCAGACAATGCAAAATTAAAAATAGAATCGAAAATGCGAAAATATTTACAAAAGGGAAGGACAAATTTAGGGTATGACACATGGTACCAAGTAATCACAAATATAATATGGAAAGAAATTAAAAGTAAAGGAAATATAAGCAAGAAAGGATGATAAACAAAGACTCAAACATGCGAAAGAAACCTAGACTAGGATTGACTTGCTTAGGGAAGAACCAGTCCTCAGAAGAGTCGCCATCTGTCGTACCTCAAAAAATATGATCTTCGCGTTGCGCAAAATTAGGGTTTGCACGATCACGAATGGAATTATAAGAGTCGCCACTGAACTTTATTTATTCCCAAGAAGGGAAATGGAAAATATCGAGAAAACCCACAGAGAAAAGGATAGGGTATGATCATCGCAACCATGTTGGGTTCGGAAGTCGGTTATGTAAGGGGAAGGTATTAACACCCCTTACATCCATCATACTTGATGGAAACCGTCTAAGTTGTCTAGGCATGAAAGGTATTTGTTATTTATAAGCTTGCTAGGGGAAAGATGAATAGTTGAGGTAAAATAAGAGATTTTTATAACTGAGTTCGTCTGAATTTACAATTTAGTGCTTACGTATCCCAGAGGGAATCAAAACTCCGTAGTTCTTGTTTTATTGGTTGGTTGGTTTAGTTTGTGAAAAATGATTTATCTTGATTTTGAATTAAATGCACAGGGCAAAAGAAGTTGATTTGTCGCACATGGCGAAGAGGGAAGGATTTGTCGCACGGAGCAAAAAAGAAAAAATTGATGAGTTTGATGGATTTTAAGTGTGAAAAGAAAAATGTTTTAGTCTTTTTTTGTTTTTTTAGTTAGTGATTTATGTACGGGTTTAATTACTTTCAAGTGGGAAATATTGTTAAATTAAACCAAAAAGAACTAAATTATATACAAATTAATTATTTTTATTAATTAGAGAAATTAAATATTTTTGGTATTTTGAATTTTATTCTTTTTTGGTGATTAATTAAATATCCTTAAAAAGCACAAGAAAAAAAAATTGTATTTTTATTTTATATTAATAATAAAAAAATAATAGTTAACTTAAGCTAAATAAAAAAAAAAAAGAATTTAACAAAATTAAATTGATCGACTAAACTAATTAGTTACAATGAAGTCTAATTTTTGTATTTTTTAAACTTTTATTTTTGTTTTGGTATTTTAATATTTCTTGTACTAATGCATCAACTAATAAATAAAAAATTAGAGCAAAATTTACATGTGAAACATTCTATACATAAAGAAAAATAAATACACTTAAGATTAATAATTCAATGTGTAAAGTCTTAAAGAAATACCTATAAGAAAAAAAATGTATCTATGCCCACCTCTTTTTCAGCCAATGCTCAACGGGGAGTTGCACAACGTTATGCTTGGGAGGGTAAGGTAAAGACGCGATGATGGTGGTCGGATCTGAAGGTAGGAAAACACTTAGAAGGGGGGGGGGTTGAATAAGGGGTTTTCAAAAACAATTATGACAATAGAAAATAACAAGTTATTTTTATCCTGATTCGTTTGAACTCAAACTATTCTAGTCCACCCGGCCAAGGTAATTTCGCCTCTCTCAAACGAGGAATTAATCCACTAAATCAAAACCTGATTATAGTGATATCACTAAGACAACTGTCTTAGTCTTCTCAAGAATCCTGACCACAACTTGGTATCTCAAGGAACTTTTACAAAGGTAAAATACAAATGTGTAAGTGCTTCTAAAAAGCTATTATCACAACTGTGATTTTTACACAAA